CCCGTGGAGGTCTGGCAAGGCACAAGTGTACTTACCCCCAGTCAGCAGTCGGTGCGCCCCTGCCTGCTTCTCCGCTGTGCTGCATCGCTCACTGCCAGGCTTGTGACCGCTGCTTTGCGTCTACACGTGGCCGCGCCCGTCATCGCTGCTCACGGACTTGTAGTCGTCCGACCATTCAGGACCGTCAGGGTTTCACGTGTGTTTGCGCCTGCTCCCGCCGATTTCGCTTACCGCATCACCTGGATCGTCACAGGGCTGTGTGCTCCTCCTCTCTCTCAGCTGCCCCTCCGGGGCCCACGAAACCTTCATGGCAGTGGCTCAACAGGACAGGAATGTGTGAGTGTGTGTGTGTGTGTGTGTGTATGTGCGCGTGTATAGTGTGTGTGTGTTTGTGTGTATGTAGTACGTGTGTGTACTTGTATGTGTGTGTGTGTGTGTGTGTGTGTGTGTGTGTGTGTGTGTGTGTGTGTGTGTGTAATACTTCCGTGTGTGTGTGTGTGTGTTTGGTTATGTGTGTGCCTCAACGGTGGATGCCACAGTGCCACCTGGAGCTACCGGAACGTCGGCACCGGCGGAGGGATGTTGTGCAGCGCATTGTGACCGGTGTGGTCGCTGCTTTTGCGGTGTCCGGGGACGGGGCAGGCATCGCTGTTAAAGAGTGGCGCACAGACCAACAACAGAGGAGCGCTCAGCCTTCCGGCACGTGTGCATATGAGGCAAGCGGATGCGACTATCCGTGCACCTGGAGCGTCATCGAGCATCGTGTCCTCTCTCTCTCTCTTCTCAAGTTTCCCAGTGATGGGATCACGTGACCCTTTTGCGGCAGTGACTCTACAGGACAGGACAGGACAGGTGGTTATGCGTGTGTGCGTGTGTGCGCGCGCACATGCGTGTGTGGATTTTATTTATTTATTTGTTACAGCGTCTCATAGCACAGTGAGAACACCGGCCAATACAAAGAGTTAGCCAACCACGGCAAGGCAGGGAGAAAGGGAGGAGAAGAAAAAGGAACCTGCATGGATAAGCAGTGATTGCAACAAAATGAGAAACACAAAATCAAAGTCAAAGCGCGACAAGGCTCTTAAAAAGGCGGAGGAAAGAAAGGTCCTTAGCTCCTTGGGGGAAGTGCCAGCCACGCAGAGTATGCAATGAAAAAGCCGAGGATGGAACCCTGGGGAACTCCGGATAGTACTGTTGTGTCGGCCGAGGACGTCCCATGTACCGTGACGTACTGCGTTTGCCCAGTTAGGTAAGATGTCAGCCATATCAGGGTATTGCCGTCTACAGTAAATGATCCACGAAGCTTGGCCAAAAGCCCCCGGTGCCAGACGGTATCGAAGGCCTTGGCAAGATCGAAAAAACAGATCCCGACTAGATCTCCAGCATCCCGATGTCGACCAGGTTAGTGATGCCGTCTGGGCCCGGCACCTTGTCAGACGGGAGCTTTCGAATGTAACGTCGGATTGCAGCAGTCGTAGTAAAGACAGATGTGAGGCGGTCAACCTCACCCGACTCCTCGGCAATGGGGGGAATGGGTAGAGAAGGGTCATCGGGCACGGCCACTGAGGCGAACTGAGAGTTCAATGCAGTGGCTTTAGCTGAAGAGGTAGTAGCCTGCTGCGTAGAACTAATGGTGAGTGTCGGGATGTCACGAGATACTTTATGATTTTTTAATTTGTTCACGAACTGAAACAGTGATTGGCGGTTTTTGTCCTGCAGCGTAGCTTGGACAAACCAAATGTATCCCCGGTATTTCGATCGAGTCAGACTTTTCACCAAGTTCCGTTGAGATCGATATACATGCATGTTAAGCTGGGTTGGGTATTTCTTACACACACTGTAGAAATCGTGCTTTGCCTTAATGGCGGCACGGAGGGGGGCATCAACCCAAGGTGGCTGACCTAAAAGTCGGCAAGAGGGGGAGAGTGGACGCCGGGAGAAGTACCCGAGGTTTTTTTTTCTATTTTCGTATTTTTCTGTTTGGCGCGTACGAGCAGTGCTGAGGCTGAGACCCCTGGTCGGTTTAGCTGCTCTTGCCCCACCTCCACTGCTTCGGCTGCCATCGCTATGTGCATCTCTGTGCGTTTTTTCGGCGTTTGCACCATGATGGTTTGTGGTTATCTTGTAAAAAAAGAAAGAAAAAAAAACGATCTACGAACGAATTTCCATCAAGCCAACATTACCTGTTTGTTTTTGTTTAGACAATGGCGTATGTTTTTGTTGTCCTTTTATTTATAGTAGAAAATCAGTGGCCACATGCCACGTACTGCTCTTTTCTCTCCGAAACTGGGCATTTGCAAGCCAGATACGAAAGAATAAAGAATCATCCCTCACACCACGGGGAATCGAACCAGGGACCTTGCTATTCATGAGCAATGCTCTAACCAACTGAGCTACAGTATGAGTCTTATCCACAGTGATGATAAATCTATCCTTCTTAGATCAATCCACATGTGGCCTCTGATTTCCTATTACTTTGAAAATCTCCGTGCAGTCCAAATTTGAAATTTGAAATTATTTATAGTCCGAACTTAGAAGACCAACATCATATTTTATAGTCGTTCAACCAAACAGGCAATGTTGCCTTCTCACAAGAAGACGACTTAGAAGAGGAGAGGGCAGAAAGAGAATGGGGAGGGGAGAGAAAAACAGGCACGGAAGGGAGATAGAATGGAGAGGATAATGTAGTATAGATTAAGAAGTAGGAGTAAGATCCAGATCATTGGCACAGTACAAAAAGCGGTTTAGGCAACTGGGAGAATAAGCAAGTCTTGCGAGTGCAATGCATGACGCACCCGCTTCTCCTCTCCAATAGATCAAAGTTCGGCCGATAAACTGTTCCACAATACGCTTCCCACAAACTGGATTGACGACTGTATGGGCCTCTTTGGAAGGGTATTCGCGGGAGATCGGAGGAATGACCAAGAGTTATAGGGCCTCGCGGCCTTAGAAGAGTTATTTAAGGGGAAGTTAAGGCTAAAATCAAAATTTCACCAGCTGTAGTCATCGGGGTGCTGAGTCGAATGGTCGTGGTCCGAGGAAGCTGAGACGCTCCCTTCCTACTTTAATCCCAATCGAACTCGCGAATATTTGGGTAGTCTGCCACCTTAAAAAGGGGCAGCCTACCCATAAATTTCATATGGTTCGTTGTGTTTATTTGGTTGTGTTTATTTGAATTCGCAAACCGAACGGACTGAACATGTCCGATGACAAGGAAGCGAATGAAGTCCAAGTAACCCAGTAATGGGGACACAGATGAAAATAAAATATGAGAACAGAAGGCTCTCAGCAAAGGTAGAAGAGAAAGGAAGGAAGAAAAAGAATAAAGGAGAAAAAGAAGAAAAATCGTGGTCACGGCGAGAAGAAAGCTTTTAGCAAAAAGAGAAAGTAAAGGATAAAGGAGAAAATGGGGAGACACATCGTGGTCACGGCCAAAGCCGGAGTAGCGGCAGGACACAGTAGACATAACAACACCAGGAACAAGCACGCATGAAGCATGGGCCATGCCAGCCCAGAAGCGGGAGACACCGACAGGAAGAGAGAAGAGAAGAGAAGAGAGAGAAATCGAAGCATTGCACATCTACGCCCACACATCCACACATCCACACACCCACACATCCACACATCCACGCACCCACACACACACACACCCACACACACACACACACACACACACACACACACACACACACACACACACACACACACACACACACACACACACACACACACATACACATATATGTACATACCCACACCTACACACCAATAAACACATACTCAGACACATACCCCTCCCCACACACACGCACACGCGCGTGCACACACACACACACTCTTACACACACACACACACACACACACACACACACACACACACACACACACACACACACACACACACACACACACACATGTACATTGACAGCCACACATACAATTGCTTTGCAATGTTCTCAGTTCATAGAAGAAACGGGACTGCGGCAGCACGGAACTGGAACGAGGAACAGTGATGGAGCGAATACTGCTAGGCAGGTTGTTCCAGCATAGCGCACCCTGGAAGGCGAATGTCCCCTTTCCAGAGTTGCTGCGGGCAGGTGGCGGGCAGAGACCCATGCTGGAGTCCAGGCGCGTGGACTGGCCACAAGCTGGCAGCAAGAGAACCTGAAGCTCAGGACTTGTTTGGCCGTAACGGCAGCGCCAAGCAAGGAATGCCAGCTTCTGCTTGTACGCTTCGGTTACCCGATTGGAACACGCTCAGGTTGGCATTGGCAAGCTCATCACGAAATTCTGGAAGATTTTTGGTGCGCATGTTGCGGGTTAAACTGGTTCCCTGGCGTTGTGAGGAGTGTTGATGCTTAGCAGACTTTAGCGCGAGGTCCAGTCTAGCATGTGCGGCCGAGTGATCACTCAGAGTACAGGGTACGACATTGCAGGCGACTGTCGCAGGGCTACTGGTGAGGATCAGGTCCAGTGTTTTGCCGACCGGACATCTTGGGGTGATTCGGGTTGGGACAGAGACTAAATTTCTCAAACCGAAAGAGTGAATTGCATCATTGAAACGATGGAGCTGGAGTGTTGCAGCTGAGCTAACATTAATGTTGAAGTCACCGAGCAGGGTGACAGATGGCGATACCATTGCAGCCCAAAAAGGAATTGATTCAGTCAAGTGTCAAGTGAAGTTGGCGGAATAGCGCGGGCTCCAGTGTGGGAGCAAAGTCATTCCTAAAAATAATCATCGCCGAAGTCGCAACCACTATTTCGTACTGGTAAGGAACAAGAACAAGTAATGGTTTGAAGGAAATTTTGTCAACCATGGCCAGAGGGCCGCAGCATATGGCTTCTAGGCTCCGTGAAGTTACTTTTCTCGTCGTCAATTATGTCCCGTATCTCTCAGAACGGAATGACTCAACAGTGCTTACACAGTTCTCATGGATGTTAACAAGCATTCATTGCGGCTTCGAATATAATCCAGAACTGAACTTTATAGTTCAACTTACAGCAACACAAGATCTCTAAGGCTGCCCAATACATTTAGAGGAAGGCTTGTAAGGTTATTGTGGCTCACGTCCCTGCAATAACAGATCAAAAGATGTGGGTACAGGAACGGCAGTTAGCTTTATCAGGTTGTGAAAATTCGCAAAAAGTGTGAACTTTTGTATAGTTGAAACACCACTTCTTGGTGGAGAAGCACGCCACAGATCAGTGACAAGAGGACCGCTAGCCAGTAGCATTATGCTTTGCCAAGGTCAACATTGTTTTACTTCATATCAGTATATTGATGCTGAGTGAAAGGTGTAAGTTTTTATTGAGGTCTGTTGTTTCAACAAACGCAAACACACGAGGCAGAGTTTGTGACTAATCTTTTACAAGCCAGAAAAAGAAGACTTCCTATCCAGAGCAAAGGACAGGCGGAAAACCGTGATGCATGCGGGTACTAGTATGCGTACACATGCGAGTGTTGATGCTTAGCGGACGGTACCGCGAGATCCAGTCTAGCATGTACGGTGGACTGATCACTCAGAGTACAGGGTAAGACATTGCAGGAGACTGTAGCAGGGCTACTGGTGAGGATCAGGTCCAGTGTTGTGCCACCTAGACATCTCGGGATTATTCGGGTTGGGCAGAGGCTAAATTTCTCAAACCAAAAGAGGTAATTGTATCAATGAAACGGTAGAGCTGGGATATTGCAGCTGAGCTAACATTGATGTTGAAGCCACCGAGTAGGGTGGCCAACGGTGGTACCATTGCAGCCAGGTGAAGAGCCTGCTCAAACCTTTCCCAATAATGAATTGATTCCACAGAGGGGGGGGGGGGGGTGCCGGTGTTTGGAGTGGTGCGGACTGATGGCATTAGTAGCTTGGAAATAACACCCTCTCAACTGAGAAGAGCCTTGTTTTATAGCACAAGGTAATATAGAGAACACCAATGAGACTATGATGTGAGAAGAACCGAAGTGTCAAGGATGTGGGAATACTGTCTGCGTGAGAGAGGGATGTGAAATGCATGCAATAAATTGATAGTTAAAGGTGAGAACTATCACACATGGCTTCAATACCGTCCACCTTCAGATCAGGCGGTACAGTGACAGGAAGTGTAGCCCCGTAATTTTTAATTTTTTTTTAAATTTCGGCCAGTCGGCTGCAATCCTTTCGTTATGGGGGTTAGACAAGGGGAAGTAGCCATGTAGGGGCGTTAGCCCACCTTTCGGCACCGGGAGTTGCAGCTCGCTCAACTTGACTCTACTGAGTGCGGAGGACCCACACCTTGATCTGGTGAGCTGCGTCAGGGGGAATTTGCAGTCAGATGTGTGACTGCGGGGCTCGAACCCGCGACCTATCGGGTCGCAGGCAAGTGCAGTACCCAATGTACTACCGGGGAGCCCTGTAATACAGGCACATACCTCCACCGCGACGGCCGGCTCGATCCAGCCTGGCAATGCTGTTTCCAGATATATCGATCTCATTGTTAGCTACTGTGTTGTTGAGCCAAGTCTCGGCCACACCGACAATGTCCTAGTCCATTTAATGCACGCACCAGGTCCGACAGTTCATGCACTTTGCAGCGTAGACTACAAATGTTGAGGAATGCAATGTTCAGATCTTGCTCCGACGTTACGAGCGCTGTTCTTGTAAAAAGTGAGTTAGAATGGTGTAGCATTTGGAGTTAGAGGAACTAGGGAGTGAGGAGCAGAGGTTGTCGAAAGAGGGTCGAAATATGCATATTTTTATGTAAGGGTGTTTAATCCTGACGCTTCTTCCTATGCGTCGAGAAGCCTGGACGCGCTCTTCCGGCAACATGAGAGCGCTAAGAGACTTCAATATCAGGAGAGAGTAGTCAATGTTGAGCATGGTGCCTTTGTACCTTTAGTGTTTTCCGTGAATCGGGCAGCTGCGCCGGCATCCACGGCCTTCCTCAGGCGCCTTTGCCTGCTCACATCTCAATTTTCGGGAGGTAGCTATTCGTCGTTGATGGGATACTATCACTGTCGGGTGTCTTTCGCGCTGCCACGTTCCGCTGTATTGTGTGTCAGGGGTGCTCCGTCGGCCCGTCAACGTCCAGTTCACATGCTTCGTTAGTTGGCGATGGTGGAGGGTCGGGTTCCGATGCCGTGATTAGTGCTGCACCGAGCTTGTTTTGTGTGGAAGTATATGTTATTATAATTACACAAGAGAGAGTTTGGAAGCTTTGTTACAACTCTGAGTTTCACGTATTACTACGATCATCAGGCAACTGATGGATCCAAAACGGGCAGCCAGAACATAAGGGGGAGCAAGGTGGGAAATTCTGAGGGGTGTCATAGGCGACGCGTATCATAGCGCAAGAGTCAGGTGCAGGCGTGAAGTTGCCAAGTCTTCAGACTTGGGGCTATGCAGCAGTAGTTCCGGCATGAATGAGAATAGAGCTGGGGACAGATGCCAAATCCAAACATGCCCACACCATTACACACACATACACACACATTCTCTTCCTTTTCTCACATACACATACACTAACACGTGCGTCCACACACACATTCTCTAAATCTCTATCTCACACACACACACACTCATTCTCTATATCTCACACACGCACACACACATTCATTCTCTATATCTCACACACGCACACACACACACACACACACACACACACACACACACACACCACACACACATTCTCCAAATCTCACACATACATTCTCTAAATCTTACATACACACACACATTCTCCAAATCTCACACAAACATTCTCTCTCTCACACACACACAAACACACAGACGCACACAGACACACACACACACACACACACACACACACACACACACACACACACACACACACACACACAGTCACAATACTCATCCTTTCATTCTCACACCTACCGCACACATACTTGCACCCACACTTATCCAATCACCCACACGCACTCTCTTTCTCACGCATGCACACTCACACACACACACTCACTCACACATGCGCGCACACACTCACACACACACACACACTCACACACACACACACAAACACACACACACACACCCACACACACACACACACACACACACACACACACACACACACACACACACACACACACACACACACACACACACACACACACACACACACACACACACACACACACTAGGCAACGGGACTACTAGCTATATTCACTTGACCTTGCGGGCAAAGTTATAGAAGTAGAACTTGTTTTCATGACGACACTTGGACACAAGCTCTGACCTCTTGTTGAGGAAGCGGGTCTTTTCGGCCCAGGCAATCTCTAGCTTCTCGGCCAGACACAGGTTGCAGCACTTCGAGATGTTAGAGCATGGTGGGGCTCTCTTCACAACGGACCACCTGATACTGTAAGGTTTGTTTTCATCCTTCAGTCTCCAGATGTGTCTGGACAGTCTCGTTGAGGTCTCGTGCTTCTTGTGGCGAAAAGTATGTTGATGACCATTGAATCGTGTCTTGAATGTCCCTTCCATTAATCCAGTGTGCTCCTTTATGTCGCTGCCGGTTACATGTGCCCTGTACACAATGCTCGATGCTAGACAGTTTCCTTCCAAGGGGCAATCATTTTTGACATGGCAGTTGCAGGTTCTCACATCCTTGGTCTTATTCTGGTGGTGATTGCGGAGGATACTATTGTTGTGTTGCTTGATGATGGTGCCGATATTTGGCATGCAACCGTAACTGAACTTTAGCGTGTTCCGGTTAAATATCTTGTATAATTTGCATCAAATAATCTACGTGGAGATAATAATTTTAATATAGCTATGAATAGGATGAAGGTCGCAGACATCACGCAACTACGTTACTTGTTCAACATTTATTTACTGTGTATTTTATAACAAAAATATTATTGAAAACCCATAATCGATTTTCTTGTTCCTATCATCAGTGGGAAAAATACGGAACTAAGGATACAACCAAAGAAACTGAAGTTAAGTACTGTAAATAGAACTGTGTTAGAAATAACAACAAAATACAAGTGCAATAAAACCACTAGAGGAAACGCAAAAAGGTAACAAGATTACGTAGCCAAAGGCGAGAAGGCGCTAAACGAAGTGTCAACCTACGAATACAACTTCAGTGCAACAACGTGCTCCTGCTTACACAAAACAGGCTTATGAATACGTATACAGACTGCCTCAAGGACTTTCAACTGTTGGACATAACGCGCACGACACAGTACAGAAAAATGAGAGTCATCATACACACACCCACACACACTGCGTTGCTTCTGAAGATAGGGGTAGGTTGCACTTTTTGAAGCTCCCGTAAATCTTTCTTGGTGGAGCCCAGCCGGCGTCAGGCCGGACTGGAGGTAGTTTCCGTAGGGTAGCAGTAAGTGTTTCTAGTAGTGCTCGTAGAAATTGGTGACCTCCGCCATGCCTGGGGCCACCACGAGAACAAACACTCGCGCGACTACCCTGAGTGATGAAGAGCGTGAGGCTGATGGCGTCGTTGCCGGGCATTGAGTTATCTGTAGTAGAAATGCTGAAAACATTGGCCGTACTTGTCTCGGAATCGGCTGATCGGGAGACGCGCCTAAACAAACGGGTTGACGAGCTGTCAAGGCAGCTCAAAGATGTGAACGAAGAGTTAGTGTCTCTCCGAGAATCCGCCATTGCCTTGCGAAAAGCTACCCCAAGGCCAGTTCAAACACAGCAGGGTACGGGTGCGGGTCAACCTTCGCGTAGGCGTACCAAAGCAGGCAGTGCGGGTACAGCAGGTACTCGAAAGCATGACACCACGATGTCCCGTAGCGTCTCCAGCAACATTTCCCGTAGCGGTGACGAGTGTGAAGAGGATGGCAGCGTCCCTTGCAACATCTCCCGTAGCAGTGACGAGTGTGAAGGGGATGGCGACCAAGATGCAACCTGTGTAGACGAAGACAGATTCCAACCAGTCCAGAACTCAAAGCGGAGTAAGAAGCAGTGCGTGCTCCAGGTGATCGCAGATGACAGCTGGAAGATGGTGTCGTCAGAGCCTCCCAGGGCGAAGAAAGCTGTGCGGTACGTTGGCAACCTAGGCGACCAATGCACCGAGGAACGCCTCAGGGAGTTTGTGCAAC